TGCCTGCTTGCAGCCAGTTTAACTCATTTTGCAGCTGGACCTTCTTACCCTCCATGCCCGATCATTCCTTGGTCACATGTTACCACAGCTGAACAGTTACAATTTGAATTTGCCCTTCAGCTACAACTTTGAATGTTCTAACTGGTCTCTCACTGATGACATCATTGATGGTACAGAATTTACCTTTTCTAAGCCAAAAAGCAAGAGGTATCCTAGCTGCAGGACTTGCACTGTACACAGTTCAGCATCCTTCCTGACTATATTTAAATCCTTCAGTTAGTTGAAAACAAATTTTGGTTTTATTTTTTAACAGAGCCGTATGGCATTTGAGCAGAAAACCTTCCGGGAAAGCTCATAAACTGTAACTCCGAGTGGAATACTGCTGTAAGAGGTTTTTTCTCATCATTCTTCATGATACAGTAAAAATAGGAATAACTTGAAACTCTTACTAAGTTTCAGTATTCCTTTACTGTAAAAGCTAATGAATAAATAGAATTTACTTCTATTACTCTAGCTAAAGACAGCTCTTCAATGAGTTATGAAATGTGCTACAGTATGAGGTACACAGGGAAAGATTGTAGTACAATAATAGTACATTATACTGATTTGTTCATTCCAAGAAACAAATTGATACAATTTTTAACAGCAAACTGCTTGGAAATACAATATAAAATAATTTTTTTATTGACATAAACCAGTAGTATTTTAAACTAAATCCTTTGAGGGGAAAGAAAAAAAAGGACTGTTGGAAGATGCTGCCAGCAGTATCTATATTCGTCTTCTTTGCTTTACAAGTGGTTTGGCTGAGCTGGTCTCTGGCTTTTCCACAGATGTTCTTGACACAGAATCTGCTATCTAAATTGGGAAGAAAAAATAAGTCTTATTAAACTGTAACCACTCTTTTATGCTAGTTTTGGAGTAAGGCCATGTCTCCAGCATTTGAGTATTAGGAGGGATGTATTACTATGATCATACATGTATTGAATTTTCCTGCAGGAAAGGGGAAAAAATAACACCACAGGCAGCATTAAATTCAAGAGGTGAAACTCAGAAAATGGAAGTGCTCACAGTACCATTTTCATATATTAACCACACAGATTTCGGATAGTCAGTGTTAAGAGTGTTTTGTATCTTACCACCCCCTCTCCCTGCCAGTCGTGTTTTCAAAGTAAGGTTTAGTATACTTTAGAAACTCAGGTGTTTTGACACATTTTAGAAGGGTATTTAGTAAAATTGATAAATACCCCTTATATTAGAGATACACACTTTTAAATCAGTCTACTTAGAGTCAGGAAAACTTTTTCGTATCTTAATTTAAATGGAAAATTATAGCAGGAGTGTTTGACCTGCTAATGGATTAACATCCTCCATAAAAGGTTATACAGCTGAAGACAAGCTTCTCACTGTAGAATTTGTGGTTCTGTACATCTTTTAATGCAGTAAGTAATGTTGTAGCAAAATTACATTGAACTCTGACTTCATTATTTTTCACTCCCTTTCAATCAGAAACCAGGTACAAGTACCACACTGGAGTCAGCAGGACTACCTGCAAAGTTATTCCACCTCCCCACGTGGATAAAAAAGATGTAGTTTACTAAAAATCATGTAGGACCATGCACTGACATTTGTACTTTCTGAAGTGTCGTGTCAGAGGTATGGAGTAGAACTGCCTGCAATATTCTGCATTGTGGAAGAGTTAAACAGGAAGAATGCTAGCTTTAAGTGGCAAATAAACTGGTAATACTGAATAAGTGTTGAATTCAGTTTTCTTACAGTCTCTATTTTTATGGATAACAAGCACACGATACCTGTGTTTGAAAATTAAAACATCAGAACTTTCAGAACCCATACCTCTTTCAACTTAGTTCGAATTAGTTTAGCTGAGGTGTTCAGTGAATCGTCATCCAGATCCACTTTAGGTATTTCTGGTAGCTGTGGACCAATGACAACTTCAGCATTGTCCATACTTGTTCCAATGAGGGAAAACTTGGTACCTTCTTCTCTCTTCCTCTTACGTTCTTGGAGGTGAGTTGTCCGAGGCATAAACCGATCGATGCCATTATCGACCCGAACTGTCCTGTGCTGCATTAAGGAGTTTGGCAGAGTACGTTCTCCCAGCTGCATACTTATTGTTAGGGATGTGTTTTGACCAAAGTGCCCAGAAGTTTCAGCAGAATTGTTATCATACTGGGGAAATGTCAACAGGCTCTGACCGTAATTCCCACAGGGATACCTCATGCTGTGGGATACCCCAGGAGAACTTGCAAAGCAGGATGGATCCCAGTTACTGGCTGCATGTGATCCTGAGGTACTCCATGGACAGTCATGCTGGGAGTTCTCTGGGATTGTCTTCTTGGGCCCCTCTTTCTTTAACACAAAGCAATCTTTGAAACAACAACAAAAAAAGCAGCTTCGCTATTTCATGTCATTATTAGTTCTAACACATAAAACCCATTTAAAACAATTACGGAAACAATACCAGAGATATTCCATTCTCAGCCACCTTTCTGTGATTCTGTTTTCCTAAGTAGCACCTTTCAAGCTGGAGTTTCCCAGCCTGGTCCCTCTGCTGGTTTGCAAGGAATGTCTGAGCAGAAATATTTCTGCAGTTCTGAGAACACAAGGAATGTATTTCTGATATTGCACATCAGTGATTTTTACCTCCAGTTACGAGTTCAAGGATAAGCTGTCTGGCAACATGGGAAAAAAAAAAAAAAAAAAAAAAAAAAAAAAAGTGTTTTGGTGTTAAAAATCAGTAATTTTACTCCCTTTCAATGTCCTCGTGCAATGGATAGTAGCAAAGTACATAAGCACAAGAACGGAGAAGCCTGTGTGCAGCTGGCCCAGGCTTCAGTACTGCCTGGGAACTCTGCAGTGCAGCAGCCCTGGTAAACCCAGCCCGTTCCTGGCATTCCTCCAGTGCCAAGACACAGACTGGAGAAATTTTTTATTGAAGGTTCTGGTATAGTCCCCTTCCTTACAAAACTCTCCCTTTGGGCATGCCTGAATAAACTGGAACAAAAGTGAAAAAGATGATCCCAAATTACCTGCCAGTGCTTGAAATTTCTCACAATATTTTGAAAAGAAAATGGAAAGAGAAGGAAATACTTCAATTACTAAAGATCAAGCATTTCTTTTAGTTTGAACCAAAAATGAGAAGTTGCTTTGAAAAAGATCCAGCCCTCTATATTGAAAGATGTCTCCATTCTACTGAAAAACACTGAAAATGCATCTGTAAAACAGTGTTAACTAGCTAGCTAGTTAAAAAGTGCTTTCCTTAATGGGCACTTCAACCAAAACTCCGCTCACCCACCCATGAAATAAGATGTTAATATTCCATAGAAAATTTCATTACAAACCTCTTTGATTTGTTGCTTTTGCGATGTACTTTCTTCTATCCTGCAACTTCTCCCTAGTTTCTTGAACTGTTTCAAACTCTGGAGCATAGCACACATGCAGCAAACTACCAAAGAAACTTCGTTCATCCATTTTTTTCTTGGCCACCCTGGAGGGAAATAAATTGTATTGGCAAAACTGAGGATTTTACTTCAACTCTCTAGAATTTTAATGGATCGTAAATAAAGTATAAAAGATTAAAACAGAAAAAGGCAAATACTGCCCTGCCCAGTACCTTGCACATTGCAGTTTTTGGAATTTTATAAGGTAAACTTCAGTAAATTGCTCTGCTGGATATTCATCTAGAGCATGATACTGTTCAATGGCGCCATATAATGCAAATTGTTCGACTAATTCCTTCATAACCCCTAATGCAGGAACTCCTTGTATCAGTAAATAACGAGATTCCAAGTTGATAGTATAAACCTGGGTGGGAAAAACAACAACCAAAAAAAAAATTTTTTTTTCACATTCCCATTTTACTGTGGAAATAAGGAATTTTCTGTGTTTTGTGCTGTTCCTCAGATCCCCTCAGCGTGCTGAACACCCCCCTCTACTCTGTTTCGACTCCGGACTCCTGAAGGAGCTCCCTTTCTCAGGCCCGCCCTAGAAGGTGCACTGCACGTTAACTGTGCACACAAAAAGCAAGCCCAGCATTCTCGCTCCCATCACAAGCAGCTTCCGCTATGCGGAAGGCAGGGCCCACCAAGCGTGGCCTTGCCTTCACCTCACCTGGAGCCGCTGGGCAGCAGCGCACCAGCACAGCCGAGGTGAGCAGCCCTATGCACCCAGCTGCCTTCTGCCCCTCACGTCTCCTTGCGCTGCTCCGCATCTCTGTGTCTGTATTTCGCACGGAACCAGCCTACTCGCGCCACATGCATTTCCACATGATTAATTTACAAAATGCAATGCGGAATCAGCAGGTTTATCACACCCAACTCCCAACTCTTCCTTCGGGTATCTACTCGCTGCCTGAGCCCTCGCTCCGACGCACCCAGCAGCAAAGGGAGAAGAATTAAAGCCACCCTAACGGGGACAAGCACCGAGGAGACGCGGCGGAGCTAGATCAGCCCGGCTGAGGGGGCCC